AAACAGCTTTATTTCTATGCTGCATAGAAAGAAAGGTTGCATACTCTGCCAGCCCACGGGCATGCTGCTAAAGGTCCTGCAGAGAGGAGATGCCCATCCTGTGCAAGGAGGTGGATATACACAGAGCTGAGAGCCTAAATAGAATCACAGATTTGTTTCAGTTGGAAAATATCTTTAAGATCATCGAGCTCAACCATTAACCTAACACTACCAAGACCACCACTAAACCATGTCCCTCAGCACCACATCTCCATGTCTTTAAAATACTTCCAGGGATGCTGACACCACCACCTCCCTGGGCAGCCTGTTCCAATGCTTGGCAACCCTTTCAATGAAGAATTTTTTCCTAATATCCAGTCTAAGCCTCCCCTGGCACAACTTGAGGCCATTTTCTCTTGTCCTGTCATTTGTTACTTGGGAGAAGTGCACCCACCTGGCTACAGCCTGCCTTCAGGTAGTTGTAGAGGGTAATAAGGTCTCCCCTTCAACCTCCTTTTCCTCAGACTAAATAGCCCCACTTCCCTCAGCCACTTCTCAAAAGACTTGTTCTCTACACCCTTCACCAGCTTTGTTGCCTTTCTTTGGATGCACTCCAGAACCTCGATGCCTTTTTCCTACTGAGGTGCCCAAAATTGAACTCGTGGAAGCTGGCAGGAAGAACTAGCCGGGCTGTGTAATTTAGCTGTGGTGACTGCTACAAGGTGTAAAGCCAAGATAGTGAACAGCAAATCAGAGCCTGACTGCCCTCTACTTCTAAGGTTGTCCTTAGAGCATAGAGACCACAAATGCTCTAAAGTAGGTGACTATTCCTCCAGCCTGACCATGTGCATTTAAATGCGCCATGGAGACATTCACCCTGCTTCTCTTTAGGCATAGAAAAGGTTGGGAGGTGGTCTCAACCAGCTGCCTGAAGTCCATGGCATCTCCAGAAGGCATCTCTTAATATTTTTGTTAGAAAGCTCTCACTGGAGAGGGTGAATACCCATGTGGATGCAGGGCAGTGGAGACACTGGCTCCAACAAGACATCTAACATGAAGATGTCCAAACTTAAGAGAACCTTTATAAAAGTTGCCATGGGAAGAGCCTCAAATGACAATGATGGGACAGTGGAATGGGAACTAGACAAAGCACAGAATTAGGAGTAAAACAGGATCCTCTTGTCTCAGTTTCCCCACCTAACCCCAAGATCCTTGTCTCAACACACTATACTCTGCAGAACAGACTCTTCCTGACATTGCATTTTATTGTGTTTTTTCTTTTATGGAAGTAGTTCACTTGAGGCTAGCCCACATTTCTTTATTTATTTTGTGACCTGAGTAGAAAAGACAGATCACTCATCAAGGACATGGAACCAGATGGGTATCAGAGGGGCTTGTTTGTTTATTTTGCAGTAAGCAACTAATTGATTGCTTGCTTAAGCAAAGAAATGAGATAGTGATATTTTCACTTTGCTTGCAGTGACATTACCTCCGAGGAAACTCAATCCAGATTTGACCACACTCCCTGGCATTTCTTCACTCTCTTCCCTGTTCCCCCACCTCATTTTTAACACCCTTCATGAAATCCAAAGGTTAAAAGGTTCACAGAAAAAAAAAAAAAACAAAAACACAACGTTATCTGTCAAGCATCCCCTGCGGTTGGAGATTATCTTAGCTGCTCCTACTGCTCTCAGCTCCTACTCCACACACCCAGGGATCCCGGTGGGAGAGTTTCCCAGCGTGGCAGGAACTGAGGCTAGAAACTTCATGAAGTGGCTCCTGTGAGCATTCAAGTGTGTGCCTTTCTTTTGGTATCAATGAGGAGAAGAAAAAGCAAGCCTAAATCATGCAGATCTTGGAAAGAAGATGGAGACTTATTGTTAGCACAAGCCCCTAGTACACACACTTGAAACCAATGAATGCCTGGAGAAATGCAGCGCCTGCTGCTCTTTAAACACCTTTACAAATAGTTGCAAAAATGGGGAAGAGATCAGCAATGCCCACAAAGGCTTTAAAAATGCAGAGAGAGATAACCAGGTACTTACATCCATTTTATGCCATAGCAGAGCCCCGTCTGCAGAATCAAAGACAGAAAACCAGCTAAGAAAAATCGTGGACTCGGCTTCATTTTCTCCACCGTTCCTCACTTGCTGAAGGAAATCAGCTTCTCCAAGGGAAAAAAAAATAAAATAAAAGTTTTCCTAGTTTTCTGCACGACGTATTTCCCTGCAGTTAGGGTGTTGCTCCTCCTTAGAGATGAACAACCTGATAGGAGAGAGAGAGAAAAGAGCACGAGCTACAGTTAACTCTGAAGTTTAGCGAGTGGTCGCGAGAGAGAGATCTATTATCCAAATTGCAAAGGAGTGGTTTCTGAATCACGAAAAAGTTGGGATTATCCCCTCTCAGTCCCCTCCCTCGCCAAGCCTTGATACAACCTTTCGAGTCAACAGACAGACAAACCGTATGGCTTGAATTACACCCTGAGTTATGGTCTGATTGTGTGTTTCCATTTAACCCTGCACATGGCAAGACTTCATTCACTGCTTCACTTTTTTTTTCTCCCCCCTCTCCCCAAATTTGTGTAACTGCTTGGGAAAAAGAGAAGAAGAAAAAAAAAATCTTTAGACGAGCCAAACTCTTCAGCTATTCATCTCTCCCTTTCTTCTATCCAGATTATTTTTTTCCCCTTCTTTTGCCGCAAAGAAGACAAATTATGAAAACTGCATTTCCCGACTTCACGCAGGTGCCCGTGCCCTGCAGATGTTTTGGTCTGATCCGTTACAACAAATGTGTTTTGCTCCTTCCCTTCTGCTTTCCTTCTCACCTCATTAACTCTGCCTCTCACTTCTTCCAAGTCCTTGGGCACCTGGAGCTCACGGAAAGGGCTGCAACTTGGTAAACATAAAATCCCATTTCTGTCTCTGCGGAGCAGCCAGGAGGAGACAACAGCTCTCAAGGATTCCACACACTCCCCCCTTTTTTTTGTTGCTGTTTTTCCCTTCTTCAGTCCAAACAAATAAACAAACTAGGCGCAGGGCTTGAATTCTTAGAGAGGTCCTCTCTGTCTCCAGGGCACGGCTGGCTTATTTTAGCAGCAGTATTAATAGCAGTAAATGGGTTTCCCTTCATTTCTTCACCTCAGACACCGCTCCAGGCTGCTCTTTGTGGTCTTTGCGGTGGTTAGAAAGCCAATAATAAAATAAACAGAAAAACCTGCCCATCACACCGCACCGCTTTGAAGGGCTCTGTGTTTCTGGAGTCTCACAGCCCAGTGCATGACACGCTGGCATCCCCAAGCTGGCCCCTTGAATGGGTTTGGGATGGGGCTGGGAACGATTGGAGCAGTCAGCACCACTTTGGGGAAGCTCTTACTCTGGGAAAAGCACATCCCACCTGACCCCCAGCTCTGGATTTTTCCCAGCCGAAGCTTTCTACCTCAATGCCCTAGTTTGGAGAGCAATTGGGTCAGCAGGCAAGGAATACTTCTGGGTGTTTTCTCTGCCATCTGCAGCGTGTTTTTCCATCCAGGCTGCTTTTTGGCTATCCCAACCCCAGCTCCTGGTGTAAAGGGTTACTAAAGAAGTGCTGTTATTACAAAGGATTTTAATAACCTCCAGGGGCGAGTTCCCAGCTCCCTTGAAGTCCGAAACAAAACTCTGACTGACTACAAGGGAGGCAGGATTTCATTGCCACGGGTTGTTTTTCTTCAGTGCCCGCTCAGATCTGGGTTTGAGGTGTCCCTTGAAGGCAGGGCTCCCACAAGCACGCAGGCATACTTCTTGTTTCAGGGTGTTTCTCTATCTTTTCAGCTTTGGAAGCTCTTTCCTTCCCCTCTCTCCGCGAGCACACTGGAAACCTTCAACCCTTAATCCTGCCCATGCCTTTTAGTGTCCATTTAGATATTTCAGACCCCTTATCTCTTTCCCGTGAATTGCTGAACAACATAAGAGTCTGGTGTAAAATGTCACAGATGGTCTAAAACCCTCTTGCTAACCCTGACCAGCCAACATCATCCTCTGCTTTGCCCCCTGCCTTGAAAAAGTCAGCTTGGCGTTTTCCCCCCACCCCAGGGAGGAATAGAAATTATTCAACCCTCCCTCCCCCCCCC